CCAACACCAAAAGCCTAGTAAAGAAAAGGTGCAGGTTGTGACCTTTGTATATTAACAAATAATAATAAAAGAGTAAGCAAAGCATAAGAGTTTTCACCTGTGAACAGATGTTTATCACAGATCAGTTTTCTGTCTGTTAAGAGAAACTATTTGTTGAAGTGAAGTTAGATAATTTCTATCAGCCAGTACATGGCAAGAAGGAACTTCTTCTCCTGGTGAATATATTACTTAAGAATGAGCAACATTTAACCCGCATCTTTGTAAGAAATATGGCATTGCTACCATTGCTACTCTTGTCAGTTTTAACTGATATTCATTAAAATTCCAGGGAAAACAACACAACAACAGTATTTAGTTCTCCCCGGCAAAAAAAAAGCAGAAGAAAATTAAAGAAAATAGAACAAAACAAAACCACTTTTAGTAGGAAAAATAATGCTTAAGAAGTTGATGCAAGGAAAAATTATCCTATTAAAGATAAGAGCAGATTACTTAAATTCACAACATTCATATGCATACTTAATTATAGTATAAAATCTTTAAAAGTAGAAAGCTGAAATCTAAGAATTTCAGAAAAAGGGATGTAATTTGTGAGTAAGGAAGCTAGGATGATCAGCAAAGGACAGTATTGTTTCTTTTTTAAACATTTCTAATATTCTCATTTGCTGTTCTATTTTTTTTTAAAGTATGCAGATTATGGTTATTTTATATGCCAGTGTCTCAATTACAGCTAAGTTTCTCTTCAGTTTATATCATACATTAAAGCACAATTGACTTGAATTCAATGACACTGTCATACTTGGAAATTTATTATAATGTCTCAGATATGGTTTTGGAGACTGTTACTCACAAATGTGAACAGCAAAAAAATGGCCTTGTTTTATGTTTTTGTGGTTTTACCAACAATAATCCATCTGGGTTGCTAGATTAAAGATAAAATAATTTTTATAAATTACACTCAGTCATATGATATGAAAATGTTCCAGCCTATATAACTCCTACTTGCCTACTTTCAAAAAAATTCCCTTGTTTTGAAGTTAGTTCAGTAGCTATTGGAACTAGTCACTGAAATAAATTCCAACTTGTTTATGAAAACATTTTGAACAAAGCATTGATTGTCCGAGATTTATAAAAAAAAAGTTAAAATCTATAAACTGTTGACATCACTACTATTTGGGGCATGAGAATGACATGCATATAAATCATAATTTACTGGCACAGGCTTTTATACACAGAAAGGAGGCTTTGCTTAAATGGAATTCATCAACATGCTGTAATTCTCCTCTTTTATAGATTAGTTTTAAAATATTCTGAATCAGGAAAAAATCTGAAGCAAATAATTCTACAGTAGGAATCAGGGGCACCAGAAGAAGTCTTTAATGACATGGGTTAGCCATGATAAAGGGGCAGAGTAGGCAAGGTCTGGGGAAATCAGGGTGGGCAGAAAGGCCTCAGGGTGAAGCTTTGGGAGGGTAAGTCACTTGTGTCGCTGATGTCCCTTCATACAGTGTCAGCCACATCTCTGTTAGCTCTGAGGACAGTAATCTGTTGGTCCACTTTGTAGGAAAGAGTCTCACTATCACTGTTTAGAAGAGGTTACGGTTTACCAAAGGCTTTCACAGGAGCATTCTGTCCCTTCCTACCCATCATGAGGTGTCTGAAAGAGGCCTTTTGTGCTGATAGATTTTCCTCCTCACAGGAGGGGATTTTTCTGGTGACATTTTGGCAAACCTTGACCCACATCCCCCTCTAGCAAGGACAATGAGAGCTATTGCCTGCCAACACTTGGCCAACTGTGTGAAACCACCATTGTGCCTCACATGCCACTGCTTTGCTTGATCAATCGCTGGAGAAAAATAAGAAACTCCTCTCCTGATCCAGGCCCAGATGAGATGGCATCCAGGCCAGGTATATGTCTACATGCATGGTGAACAAGAATTGGCAGTACCATTTGTTGCTTTAAAATGGCATCCTGATTGGAAAGACTTGTTCAGGTCTCACTGAGAGAAGTGATTTTAATTCTCTTGGATTTTATGAGTATCCTGGTCTTAGAAAAAGGAGGATTTTGAACGTTTTTTCACCTAACCATTCTAAGAATCCTTAGTTTAAAAAATCTGGTTTTAAAAGTTTCACCTCTGTTAGAACCCCTAGGATAGCTTCAGTACCTTAAACTCAGAGGATATGCCCTACTGGATGCTGAAAAATCAACAGCACAAACTACACAGGATGCTTCAAGTCCTGAGAACAGACCATCTCATACTTCCATTGCTCCAGTTCTAGACAAGTAAGATTTACACAAGCGTAAAACAAGAGAAACAGCAGTGAACCAGCCCAAGAATTCTCTCAGATAATTCTTTCCTTTTTCTTTTCCAGTAGCAAAATTTTTTGGCAGGCACCAGGGATCAATACTGTAGTTGGTGTTAAAGTGCTACACTGGAGAGCAAATGCTCTAGCAATTTAAGGAAGATTCTGTTAAGTCATTCTACTGGACTGCAGGACTTGTGGGTGGAATTCTCCCAAGTGAAAAATATGGCAATGACACAAGCCTAAGTCCTTACTATTTCTTGGAATTTCAGTAACAACCATAAAGTTTGGTTTTGGCACCTGAATCTTCAGAAGCACTAAGCAAATTAATCAAGCCTCAGTCCCGCATCCTCATGTTATGCTTATTAAAATATATGTGGTAAAGAGCTGCATGAATGGATTCCAGAATTTTCAAGTAGAAATGCCTAAAATCAGGCTCATAAACCCACATCTAATTTTTTTAAAATGGTTACACTAATTTTCCAATTTTCTTGAGCTTCTGAAAACTGCAAATGCTAGAGCTTTTGATTAAAAAGAAAAAAAATTAAGCCAGTTTATGCTTATCTTTAATCTGAATTAGGGTCTGCATCAAGACTCTTGGCAGTGCTAGGTTAGCAGTTGGACTTGATGATCTTAAATGTCTTTTCCAACCAAAATGATTCTATGATTTTATGATTTTCTAGAACTGTCCCTCATAGGCATCAGGACTAGTCCTGTGAAGGCTAAAGGAGGCTCTGTCTGGCAGCCCTGATGTGTCCTGAGCTGGTCCTAGTTCTCTGGAGCTAAAATACCACAGGAGAGCTTTTTAAGATGATGTTCATATGGCTAATGAGGATGCCTTCTATCAAGTTTGGAAACGTGGCCACAGACTGACGTGGGATATTCCCACTGGAAGCACACTGTTTCCATTCATTAGCAAAGTGATCCATCACTGATCATTTGGCATAATTTTTCAAACTCCTGCCTATACTAAATAATTTCTTCATCAGAAAAGTCAAGTCAAAAATAAATGTAGGCAATCAGAAGACTGTGAAGAAAGGCTAGCAAAATTACAGCCATTTTAACAAGAGCTTGGCAACTTGTGCAAGTTCGAGTGACTGCATACGTGTCTAAGCTGTGCCAGCTTGTCTGTACACACAGCATGTAATACCCACATCCAGAAATACTGTGTTCCAACCCAAAGATTCTTTCTTTAGTGTAGACAATGAATGAATCGCACAGTTCTGCTTGTGGTTGTCTTCTCTGGTGTTCATGCATATTTTTAAGCCGGAGGACCTATTTAGGAGAGCCAAAACTATGTATACTAATGGCAGTTGCAGAACTGGGTGTGAAAGATGTATCTAGGCAGCCTGGTGTCTTGAAGAAAATGGAGCATGGAGGCAGGAACAAGACATAATTATCAGGAGAAGGACCTGTACATGTATCAGAATAGCCTGTGCATCAGGCAACTTGTAATTCAGCCACACTGTCCTCTACTGGCTAACCCTGGATCTCTGAAAGAAATTACGTACTCATGCTGTTTTCATTCTGTGGTTCCCATTTTAAGGCATTTCAACAGAATCATACTTTCAAAGAGCCCATCTCCTTAATCTCATCTCTTTCTGCCCTCAATACTTTTAAAACCCAAGAAAGTAGAGTCTTTATGACTATCAAAGCATCATAATGTTTACAGCTCTTAAGACCTCTCTCAGAAGTGAAGAAGGATTTTAAGATGGGGAATTTCAATCAATGTAATTTGTTGCAAATTAATGAACTTCTAATTACAGAATCTGGTTTTTTGTTTTTTTGTTTTTGTTTTTTTTTTAAGATAAAACCACTTAAGGAAAACACCTCAGATCCCTTCCATACACTTCTCTCATCTTTCTGGTCTTCCATCTCTTCCCTGTGCATTACTCTCAGTCCCTTTGGGGAGGTGAGGACAGGTGCAGGAGGTGGGGGTCAGTAGGTGGTGGCCAGGTTTTTTCTCCACTCCTTGCTTCATGCTCAGTTGCCCCAGGGTGGGTTCCTTCACCAGCTGCCAACCCATCAGAGTCAAGCCTCATCCTCTCTGACCTTGCACAGGAAGCTTTTCTTCCTCTGGGACCTGCTTGAGATCTTATTTTGCTCTAGCATTTCTACTGCTCTGCCATCTCTCCTCTCTTCTCGTCCTCTGGTGTGGTCTCCTCAGCCTTTCTCCTTCTCCTCTAGTGGTATTGTCTCGTTTTCTCAGCATTTACCACTCTTTCTTAAGCATGTTTTCACAGAGGTGCCAGAAGGTCCTCCAACGGGTTCAGCGTTGCAGGTAGAGTGAGCTACAAGTGGCTGCATCTGGCACAGGGTGGTCTGTGACATCCTCCTACAAAGACCACCCCACAACCACACCGCTACTAAAATCTGGCCAATTCTGCCCAATACACACCTCAAGCCCTATTTGGTAATAAAAAAAAAATTTGGTCAACTTCTAATTCCACCTTTTCTCCAATGTGAGGATTTTTTTCCTTCACAAAAGCCTTTGCATTTCTGGATACAAATATTTCTGGTATCTTTGGACTGATCTGATGAGATCTGAGATAAAGAATCTAAATGAAAGCAGGCCTTTCTACAGCCAGTTGGTGCACATCCCCCAACAGTGCCACTCTGGAGCACGTCAGCTTGCAAGGTGACTGCTCTGTGCTCTGTGAGGCTCCTGCAGACACCAACAACCTCTATGGTGCTTTCAGGTTCTGGACGACAGCTGAGACCAGCCCAGCCTCCAGGAGATGCTGATGTGGATGCAGATGCAGAGGACGAAGATTCTGTGAGTTTTTTTTAGAGTTTTTTTGTTTTTTTTTTTTTTTTTCCTGGGATGGGGCTTTGGCAGTTTTTTTGTTAAAATTGAATCTTCAGATTATAGCTGGGTCTTGCTGGTGATTTTTCTCCACATTAAAAATGTTGTACTACTGCCTGGGATTCTCCTGGCAGCTCAAAAGTCAGAATGATGCTTCAGTATCAAATGATCTACTCTTTGCTATGATTCAACAGCCTAGGTTTAATTCCAAGACTTGGCAAACTATTACATGGCTGTTGCGACTACAGTAACTTTTCATTAAAGCTTTAGTCAGTTTAGGTTCCCTGTCATTTGACTCCAGAAGGATGCATGCCAAGTGCTTGTCAGCAGAAATTCCTGCTGGGACTCTTCCATGGTTTGTTTGGTTATAGAGGGCAAGAGCGTTTGAAGCTGCAGGATGCAAAGGTTAGGTGTGCAAATAAAGCAGGGGAGGGAATTTTTACTGCCTTTTTCAATCATGACTAGTTGATCTGTCAGTATTTTCAGCCTGTTCAGCCCATAGATGCATGCAGTACATAAGGAAAACCAGATTCAACATACCATTGTTTTTATCTCTCAGGAGTCTGTCCCTTGTGTTTTTGAGTATCACCCTTAAATGAGAACTGAATTTGTTCTTGACTGAAGGAAACAGTTACTGGTTATTCTACATCCACCATTACTAATGAAAGATTTATACATATAGGAAGACAAAGCCCAAGTAGAAAAACTCTCATAAAAGATGAGTAAGTTTTTAATGGAGGATGTTTCTTTCCCATCACTCATTTCTTTTCCACAGGTTAATGAAGTGGCAGTAGAAGACATCCGTCCAAGGCCACAAGGATCCTCTCCAGTTTATGAATATTCTGTAGAAGAAGAATATTTAAAGGCAAGACACTGAGTTTTCATGCAGGCATGACTTTACCAAGTTGATTCAAGAGTCTTTAGCTGCTACTACTAGCCAAGACACATAAGTTATGTAATGGGATGTTGTTGCAGACATATTGTCTTCCTGTCCCCACTAAAATCTGGGCTATATTCATTGCTGGGTTTAAATTGTACTGAAATTGTTGTTGGCCATGTTCTTGCTTCTTGGTAAAAACTGCATTTGACTTCATTCCTTAAAGGACCTGTGTGTCAAGAAATCACAATGGTTTTCCTATTAGAATATTTAACTGGCTTGAATCTAGTATGTATTTTAAAATTACCTGTACCTCTTGGTTATTCAAAGTTAAAGATTTAATTAGTACAGCATGTTAAGCCAAGTAGGCAACAGTTTGAAATTCATGCTAAAGTGGAATAAATGAAAAAAATGTATGTTCACAAAGATGAAAGCGCAAGAAATGTGCTACCTGAGTAACACATAGAAAAGCTCCCAATGTCTTAATGCAATTAGTCTCTGGTGTTCGTTTCATGCAAATTATGGTACAATGCAGGGAGGCCTTGGCATCTGATTTACTGCTGGGAATAATATAGTTAAATCATTCATGTTGTACATAGCACTTGTAGATACAAATGTTGCTCTGTTGCCATTAAAGTCAGCCTCAATTCTTAGTCTAAACCAGGGATTTTAACTGATGTTAGATTTCTGTTGTACTTTACAACAGCGTGATTTCTGAACACTAAAGGTTTGCAAATTATTTTTCAGCTTCAAGAAGAAAACAAGAAGTTTTCTGCAGACAAATCAAAACAGAGTCCTCCACAGGTTAGTCTAAAAGCACTCCCTAGTAGTAGGCATGTAGCTTCCAAATAGTCAAGTCTAGCACACAGTTGTGGATGGGTGGACAGAGGGGAGGAGAAATGGGCAAAGAATCACTTTAGGCTTGTCTTGACCAGGAACTTAACAAATTGCCTAGATGTGGCACAAGCATGAACACTTACTTATCCTGATTGGGATCATTCCATAATTCTTTTTTAGCATTCTTTAGCCTTCTCTAGTTTAAGTACAGTACAACATTAACTCTTATACTGACTTTTCTGGCCCATTGACTCTAATTACAGAGCTTAACATCTTCACAGAAAATACAGTCTTTCTGCCCTAGAAGATTCCATATATTTCATGTTTTAAAATTACAGTTTTCCCTGTGGCCCTGGACCAGCATAACCCTAACACGTGCTTAATTCTAATTTAGAACAGAATCAAGCCCCCACTGAACAAGGACATTCTCTGTTTTAGATGGTCTTTCTTAAGCTATTGAAAATCTACCTGAGGAGACTCAATTTTTTATTGTAGAATAATGGAGAAGACTTTGATACAAATGAATAAAAATTATAAATTTGTGCCTTTTTCTATATCTAGGAAACAATGGAAGTGACCCTGAAAACAGAAGTGGAAGCTGGTGCTAGTGGCTTTAGCGTGATGGGTGGAGGAAATGAAGGAATATTTATTAAAAAAGTAATTAAGGAATCTCCTGCTTCAAAAATATTTAGTCTGAAAGAAGGTACAGTCTGATTTTTCAGTTTGTGGGGCTTTGTTTAATATAACTTAAAATAGCTGGGTATGTAGCTGTGTGTGCATATAGATACCTACCTGATGTGCCATCTCTTTAGGTAATAGAAGTAGCAGATCACAAACCAACTAATATTATGTGTGATCTTAACCTGTCCATGTTAATATTTAAGACCTGTTGCTTAAATGTGATTAGGATTTTGTATACCATTAAAGAAATATCGAATTTTCACTGAAACAGTGAAAAAGTTATATAGAAAGTAGAATATATGCAACTAAAATGGAAAATAAAAACTACCAAAACAACCAACTCGTAACATTCATGAAGAACCTGCCTTTGATTCTTTCACAAAAATAGTATGCCACAAAAAAAATCCCAATAAACAATGACTGAAACAAGAACAAAAGGCCAACGTCTAAATATTGAAAAAAGTAAGAAAAAAGTTTATTACTGTCGGGATGGTTGGACACTGCAACAGATTTTCTACACAGGTTGTAGAGTCACCATCCTTGGAAATATTCAAAACCTGACTGCATATAGACCTGAATAAATAACTAACCCTTCCTTGAGCAGGACAGTTGAACTAGATGATCTCCAGAGATCCTTTCCAACCTTAACTATTACATGAGTCTGTTATGTGAACATAATTTTGTGTTGTATATAAATAGGATATGGTTTTTTTTTTTGTGAGCATTAATTCAAACAAATCTGAAAAGCTGCAAGAAAACAGAAACTAATTAAAATTGTCTTATGCCACTTGCAGGTGATCAGCTTCTAAGTGCTACAATATTTTTCGATAATATCAAATATGAAGATGCACTTAAGATTCTCCAATATTCCGAGCCATACAGAGTCCAGTTCAGCCTCAAAAGAAAAATTGCTGGGAAAGAAGAGTCAGAACATATTCACTCTACAGCCCAGTACAAAAAGGAAAGAATAACCCAGGTAGGTATTTGATTAGTTTACGAAGTTTGGATAACACGGTAGTAATGTGCTATGTGGAAAACAGATCATAAAATACACACTTGTGTCTTCTTAAGATTTAGGCATGTGTTTAAATTTACTAACATGAATATTCATGAGAATAAAAAAGTCCCATACAATATTTGCAGCTTTTTAAATCTCCTGAGCAAGACTATACACTTTGGATAAAACCACAATGTTGTCTGAGGGTAGAAAAACATTCTCTAGTGAGTCTTTTTTTTTTTGTTAAGTGTCCACTGAGAACAGGCTCAGATAAGCTCTGTAATATTTCTATTCTAAATTTTCCAAAATGTAAAGCATCAGTAAATATTTTTCTCAAAAGCTCATCAATGAAATTTTCTCCTTAAAATATGTGTTTAGTCACTATATCTATGGATATCGCCACAGACATTATCTGCTCATAGGTTTCCATCACATTTAAAATTATTTTTATCTTGATATGTGTATATAAAAACATTATATATATATATTTGCACAGACACATACAGAGCAAGATACATATTGAAACCTCTGTTTACTGCAGTGTTTTTCAAGGAACTTGAACCTTCAGAAATCCACACATTACAGTTGTATAGTCCATTTGTTTTATGTAATTTCTGCCTGTATTATATACACCTTTTTCAGGAATTTTTTAAATATAGCAACTAGATACTGTGAATAAAAAGCATGTTTTTCTACATATTATATAGTATGTGTTTTATTTTGTATTGCATCTGTATTTAGTTTCTATAATCTTCTGACTGCTAGTTCTTCTTTCAGGAAAAAGAACTCAGTGAGATCATTCCTGAAGAAACACTGCATGTTTCAGGAAAAAACATTTCAGAAGAAGACAGAGAAACGTTAATTGTAAGCCAAAGGGTAGGAAGGAGCAAGAGACCTAAAAAAGACAGATTATCATGGCCAAAATTCCAGTCAATTAAAAATAAAAAGATCCTCGGGCACAGAAGATCTCATAGTACATCAGATGCATATGAACCTGCTTTACAGGATATTTCCCCTACAAGCACAGACACAGAATCTCAATTTCAACAAGAAGTACATATCAAAGAAAAAAAAGGAAGCCAAAAGAAACTGAAGTTCCCTAGCATTGGATTCAAAATGCACAGATCCAAACCAGAACCACAAGACAAGCAAAAAAAAGAAATAAAGACTACACTGTTATCTGAAAGAGAAAAAATACATAAAGAAGATACCAGCCTGGAAAATCCTGAAATCCTAACTGTTGAATATACCACATCTCCTGCTTATGAAATTAAAACAGGAGAGGTGCAAGAAGCTTTAACAAAAGACTTAAAAGATATGAAAAATGGCATTCCATCTCACGAAAAAAAATGCCCTGAAGTTGAAATAAGAATTAAAAAAGAAAAAGACACAGAATCAACATCAAAATTTGCTGTACGTGGAATACCTGCTGTAACAACACAGATATCAAAGCCCAGTTTAGAACCACCTGATCTGAAAAAAAGTCCCACTGAACAAATACCACAAACCTCCTCAAAATCCCGAAAAAAGAAACAGAAAGGAACAGCAGAGAAAACAGAAGGAGAAAGTGGAATTAACATAGATGTGACAGGACACACAGCACAAGGATCTATACAAGTAAAAGGTCTAGAGATAGGCACTGCTAAAGCAGAATTACACACAACATCTGACACAATGGAAACAGAAGAAAAACAAGCAAAAGACACACAAATACTTAAAATTCAGAAACCAAAATTTGAAATTGCAATGTCTGAAAGAAAAGAGTCAGAGACAGAAAACACCAAACCAAGAAGTGATGTTCCACATTCAGCACCAGAAAAAAAGAGTGATACAAGTTCAGAGGACAGCAAGAATTTGGATGTGACACCTCACATGCCTGATGCAGTAGCTGAAGTATCTACTTGGAAAATACAAATGCCATCATTCAAAATGGCCAAAACACATAAAGCAGAAATGAAATTATCAAGTGAAGAAAGACCAGCTGACTTGGTAGATTCTGTAAAAGAGGCAGAGATAGAAGAAGATGGCAAACCCCCAAGTGATAAAACCGTGCAGATGCATACTAGTGTGAAAACAGGAGAGAAAGATATAGAGGGAAAAGAAAACAAATTCAGGCTAAAAAAGTTCAAATTACCTACATTTACCTGGACAACAACAAAGGATGAAACAGAGCCAACAGAAGGTCAGGGAAAAGACAGGGAAGGAAAAGGCCCATCACTAGGAACGACAACAAAACCAGAGATGAGTGTATCAGTAAAAGAAGTGCAGGTTCCAGCTGCTCAAAGAGAAATAGAGATACCCAAAGAAAAAATAAATGACGATATAAAATTAAAGACAGAAATGCAGCCACAAGATATAAAAATGTTAGAGCTAACAACTTCCTCAACACCGGGTGACTTCAAAGAGAAGACAGGAGAAATACAAATAAAAATACCTGATATTAACATTAAAAACAGTGAATTCAATATATCATCGAACACAACTGAAGAACTTCCTCAGCAAAAACAACTGAATATCAAGGCTCCCAAGGTGGACATCAGC